TATGGGACAAATTGCGCCACAAAAACGACTATATTCCGTGAACCATTCGGCGAAACGTTCCACAAAGTAATAGCAATCCGATCGGGAACAATCTGCACGTTTTGGTAAATTTTTGTCTATGTAGTGTAAAAACTGTGGGAGGAGTTAGGGTGGCAAATTTTGCTATATAATAATAATAATAATAATATATATGTATGATAACATTATGTCTCGCGTTACCTTTACCGGCGCCGCCACTTTGGAATTGTGTGAAGCGTTCTTGCCTCCACCAGTAGTCTACAACTGGAGTGGGCGGAGTAACTGTTATCATTTATATAGCACATTTAATTGCAACATTGTTGCACAGTTACATTAAACCATACATTTATAAAAACATTAGCAGGTGTTCAAAAGGCCCTGTCTATGACATCACTTGCCGCTGCAGCCTGGCACAGGTCAGAGTATTTTGGCGGTTGCCATCTTCAAACGGTCGATTCAAAACTATAACTCCTACAGTTTAAGAGCTTTATATTGTGAGAATCACAAAGACCCAGACCTACATTTTGATGGCTAGTATGTCTCTGGAAGCATGGGTGATTGAAGGTACAGTCGGCATGGAAATTGCACTCTGGCATTTGAGCTTTGCAGAGTGAAGTTCAGCACGAATGTCAATGGACGGCGCTACGCAAACAATGGTCATTGTGAAAACTATCGTAATTACGCTTAGCCGCGGACATGTTTAGTGGCAGCAGGGATAGCTGAACGTTTGATATAAGATTTGTGTAGGTGGGCCTGAAAATAAGGGAGTGGTGGCAGTTTAGAAATCATGTCCTGATTTTTCAGCTTTTGCCAGCTCCCACTCTAGCTTTGTTATTCATTCCTATGGGACAAATTTCGCCACAAGAACGACGATATTCCGTGAACCATTCGGCGAAACGTTCCACAAAGTAATAGCAATCCGATCGGGAACAATCTGCACGTTTTGGTAAATTTTTGTCTATGTAGTGTAAAAACTGTGGGAGGAGTTAGGGTGGCAAAATTTGCTATAATAAGAATAATAATACCTGAAGTTACAATTTCGAAATTGTGTGAAGTGTTTTGCCTCCACCAAAAGTAGTCTAGCACATTTAATTGCAACGTTGTTGCACAGTTACATTAAACCATACATTTATAAAAACATTAGCAGGTGTTCAAAAGGCCCTGTCTATGACATCACTTGCTGCCGCAGCTTGACACAGGTCAGAGTATTTTGGTGGTTGCCATCTTCAAACGGTCGTATCTTAAAAACTATAACTCCTACAGCGAAGAGCTTTATATTGTGAGAATCACAAGACCCAGACCTACACTTTGATGCATAGTATGTCTCTGAAGTATTAAAAATGAAGGCACAGTCGCAGTTTAGAAATTGCACTTGAAATTTGAGCTTTGCAGAGTGAAGTTTCAATGAATGTCAATGGACGGCGTTGGTTGCAAACAAATGGTCATATTGTGAAACGCATCGGTGACTACGCTTAACCACCGCTAATATGCCGAGGCAGGCATGGTCACTTTGGATATGATTTGTGTAGGTGGGCCTGGAAAATAAGGGAGTGGTGGCAGTTTAGAAATCATGTCCTTGATTTTTCAGCTTTGCAGTTCTACTCAGCTTTGCCATTCATTCCTATGGGACAAATTGGTTTGCCAAAACGACGAGGAACGAACCATTCCTAAGTAAACGCCCACAGCAATAGCAATCCGATCGAAACAATCTGCACGTTTTGGTAAATTTTGGTCTATGTAGTGTAAAAACTGTGGGAGGAGTTAGGGTGGCAAATTTTGCTATAATAATAATAATAATAACTAGAAAAGCTACAATTTCTGGTGAAATTGTGTGAAGTGTTCTTGCTTCCACCAGTAGTCTACAACTGGAGTGGGCGGAGTAACTGTTATCATTTACATAGCACATTTAATTGCAACTTTGTTGCACAGTTACATTAAACCATACATTTATAAAAACATTAGCAGGTGTTCAAAAGGCCCTGTCTATGACATCACTTGCTGCTGCAGCTTGACACAGGCCAGAGTATTTTGGCGGTTGCCATCTTCAAACGGTCGTATCTTAAAAACTATAACTCCTACAGCGAAGAGCTTTATATTGTGAGAATCACAAGACCCAGACCTACATTTTGATGCATAGTATGTCTCTGAAGTATTAAGATTGAAGGCACAGTCGCAGTATGGAAATTGCACTTCATATTTGAGCTTTGCAGAGTGAAGTTTCAATGAATGTCAATGGACGGCGTTGGTTGCAAACAAATGGTCATATTGTGAAAACTATCAGGACTACGGCTTAGCCGTTGACATGTTTAGTGGCAGCAGGGATAGCTGAACGTTTTGATATAAGATTTGTGTAGGTGGGCCTGAAAATAAGGGAGTGGTAGCAGTTTAGAAATCATGTCCTGATT